AATAAACCCAAAGCAGATGGAAGATTTAAGTGTAAGACCTGGAACCATTAAACTAGGAGAAAAACGGGCAGTCAGCTCTGACATCGTTCTTAGCAACATTTTTTTGGGATGAGTCTCCTTGCGCAAGGAAAACGAAAGAAAAAATAAACAAATGGGTCAGACTGGAAAGTTTTTTGCACAGCAAAGGAAATGCAACAAAATGCAAAGGAAACCCGAATGGGAGGAGAGATTTCATCCAATGACACAGCCAGTCAGGGGTCAATATCTAAATATATATAGAGAACTCATGCAACCTGATACCAAAACAGCAAACAGTCCGATTAAAAAAATGGACAGAGGCCCAAACCGGTGTGGCTCAGCGGATAGAGCATCAGCCTGCAGACTGAAGGGTCCCGGGTTCGATTCCGGTCAAGGTCATGTACCTGGGTTTCGGGCGCATTCCCAGTAGGGGGCGTGCAGGAGGCAGCTGAATCAATGTTTCTCTCTCATCGATGTTTCTTTTTAAAAAAATATATTTTATTGATTTTTTACAGAGAGGAAGGGAGAGGGATAGAGAGTTAGAAACATCCATGATGAGAGAGAAACATCTATCAGCTGCCTCCTGCACACTCCCTACTGGGGATGTGCCCGCAACCAAGGTACATGCCCTTGACCAGAATCGAACCTGGGACCCTTGAGTCCTCAGGCTGACGCTCTATCCGCTGAGCCAAACCGGTTAGGGCTCTCATCGATGTTTCTAACTCTCTCTCCCTCTCCCTTCCTCTCTGTAAAAAAAATCAATAAAATATGTTTTTTAAAACAATGGGCAGAGGAGCTGAATAGATGCATCTCCACAGAGACACGCTGATGGCCAACCAGCAAACGGAAAGATGCTCAATGCCACCCAGTATCAGGGACACGGAAATTAACACCACAGGGAGCTGTCACCTCACCCCTGTCAGAACGGCTGCCATCAACAAAGCAACAGACGACAAGAGCTGGCGAGGAGGCGGAGAAAGGGGACCCTCGTGCCTGGCTGGTGGGAATGCAGACGGAGCCACCGTGGAAGACAGCATGGAGTGTCCTCAAAAAGTTAAACATGGGTCTCCCAGCCCTAGCTGGTGTGGCTCAGTAGATAGAGCGTCGGCCTGCGGACTGAAGGGTCCTGGGTTCAATTCCCGTCAAGGGCACATGGCTGGGTTGCGGGCTCAATCCCCAGTGGGGGGTGTGCAGGAGGCAGCCGATCAGTGATTCTCTCTCATCATTGATGTTTCTAACCCTCTCTCTCTCTCTCTCCCTCTCCTTTCCTCTCTGAAATCAATATATCCTATATAATAAAAGGGTAATATGCAAACTGACCCTAACAGCAGAAC